CCTCCTCCTCCCCCACGCCCACCCCGAGCTGTCCCCTCCTGGCAGCCCTCTGTCCACTGTGTCCAACGAGTGGCCAAGAGGGGTGGTTCCAGAAGGTAGGGAGTTAAGATTCACTGCCCCTCCCCCCGCCCCCAGTAGCCTGGATGACAGTAACTGTTCAGCTCAGCTTAGCCCCAGAGTCGCCTGACCTCTTTGAAAGGATCAGTCCCAAGAAACCAGCGTTGGTACCATCCTGCCAGCTAAACTACACTTTACTCAGATTTCACCAGTTTTCCCCGTAAAGTCCTTTTTCTGCCCAGTCTCCCGCGCGGCAGTTACTCCCGTCTCCTTGGCCTCCTCCAGAGGGTCACAGTTCCTGGGTCTTCCCGACCTGGGTGTTTGGAGGAGTGTCCCTCAATTGGATGTGTCTGATGTGTCTCAGGATTAGATTAAGCTTGTGTGGTTTTGACAGGAATCCCATGGAAGTGACATTCCCGGCTGCGTCACCTCCAGGGGTACAGGGTGTCACGGTGTCTCCTTGCCTGAGTTTTTAAAGAGTGCTGTAATTTTTTGAAACTGATTTTCTCCCCCAGCGGGAAGGGTCAAGAGGCAGAAATTGGGTCCTGAAGGTGAGCAGAAGGTCAGGGAGTCGGCTGTGCGCCTCTTGAGGAGCCACCTAAACCTGGGTGACCTTGTGCTTGAGGTGAGTGGAAGTTGGTTTCGCCTTTGCGAGCACATTTGGGTTTGGGGTTTTTGAGCCCAGCCACGCACCATCTTCATGAAAGACACCTGGCAAGCCTCGTGAGTATCTGGGAGAAGCACCCAGTAAGTTTGCTGTCCAGGTGAGAAAAGTAACCGGGAGCATGTATCTATTTGGAGGTAAAACAGTCCAGAGAGGAATCTGGTAGTTCTCAAAGGCTTCAGTAAGTTTCACCTTTTAAAATGCTTTTTTACCTCGGAATATTTGGGAATAGCGCAGTAGGCAAGCACTGTGTACACTTTGGGTGTTTCAGGACATGGCTTGAATTTTAAAATGCAGTGCTTGGTGTTTGGTTTCTAGGTAGAAGGTCCTCCCGGTAAACAGCTGTGTCTCAGCCGGTTGATTGATTATGATGGTCCTGGGGCCCACACTGACCTTTCCAGTTCATTGATAGGTAAGTTAGAGCTTCATTTTCTTAACAGATTGAGTTATGGAAGAGCTTCATGTAAAGTGACTTTTTAAAAACAATTTTATTGCAGTATAGTTGCTTTACAATGTTGTGTTAGTTTTTGCTGTACATAAAGTGACTTTGATTTGCTTATAACAAGCAAATGTGTAAATTCCCCCAGGTAATGGTTTTCTGCTTATATGTGTGGTCACCAGCCACAAGTTTTTGTGACTTGCTTGAGGCTTGTTATGGGGCTCTTGTTTAAAAACAGTGACTCAGCATCAGACTCAGAAGCAGTAGGAGCCAAAGTTACCCTTGGAAAAACGGGACAGAAACATGCCCCTCGTTTCTGGAAGTGGTGAGACCAGGCTCTGCTGGGTAGGGAAGTGCAGCAGGCAGCCAGAGATACAGGCTGACCTGGGGAGACCGTGGTTTGGGTTCAGACCACTGCAAGAAAGCGGATATTGCAGGAAAGCGAGTCCCACGAATGTTTCGGTTTCCTGATGTGTATAAACTTCACGTTTACACAGTAAATACCGTAGTCTGCTAAGTGTACAACAGCATTACGTCCAAAAAAATTGTGCGTACCTTCATTAAAAAATGCTCTATTATTAAAATTCAAAAAACTGCTTTATTCGGGCTTCCCTGGTGGCACAATGGTTGGGAATCCGCCTGCCAATGCAGGTTCGAGCCCTGGTCCGGGAAGATCCCACATGCCGTGGAGCATCTAGGCCCGTGCGCCGTGACTGCTGAGCCTGTGCTCTAGAGCCCGTGCTCCGCAAAGGGAGAGGCCACCCCAACGAGAGGCCCGTGCACCGCAATGAAGAGTAGCTCCTGCTCTCTGCAGCTAGAGGAAGCCTGCGCACAGCAGCGAAGACCCAATGCAGCCAAAAATAAATAAATAAAATAAAAAACAAAAAAACCTTCAAAAAAAAAACTACTTTATGGCTAAAAATGCTAACCATCATCTAAGCCTTCAGAGAGTCGTAATCTTTTTGCTGGTGGAGGGTCTTCCCTCAGTGTTGATGGCTGCTGACTGATCAGAGTGGAGGTTGCTGAAGGCTGGGGGGCTGTGGCCTTTTCTTTAAAACAAGACAGCAATGAAGTCTGCTGTATCTTCCTTTCACAAATCCTCTCTCTGGAGCCTGCAACGCTGGCTGATAGCATTTTACCCACAGTAGAACTTTCAAAACTGGAGTCAGTCTTTTCAAACCCTGCTGCTGCTTTATCAATTAAGTTATGTAATAGTCTAAATCCCTTGTTGTCATTTCAACAGTCTTCCTGGCATCTTCATAAGTATGTTCAATCTCAAGAAACCACATCCTTTGCTTGGACACGAGACACAACTCCTCATCCTTCAAATTTTATCATGAGGTTGCAGCAATTCAGTCACTTCTTCAGGCTCTACATTTTTTTTTTTTTTTTTGCCGTTTTCGGGCCCT